CGTTCCCCAAAGAGGACCCCCCAAGGTTCCTTGACTCTTGGTTGGGGGGGGAAGCCCCCCGTTGCCTGGTGGTCCCTTGGGAAGTGGAGGCTTGTAAGTGAAACAGCCCCCAGTTCCCGGGACCTTTCCCCCCCATCACTCAAAACCTGGGGCCGGTCACTTCGGAAGGGAACAACATGAAAACCCATTTGGGTCCTTTCCATTCCCTGGTTCTCTGAACCCTCCCCGAAGTCAGATTGCGGCAGCCAGGTTGTGAGGCAGTAAGCCTCAGGCCTCCGGGAACTGGATTCACGGTACACCTTTGTTCGGAGAGGTCATTCGATGTTGTAATTCAGCTGATCCTAAGGCTGGGATCACAGCAAGGTCACCCCCACCAAAACAAAAAGGCAACCAACAGAGTGGGAGAAGATATTTGCAAACAACAGCTCTGCCGAGGGGTTCCTATAATATCCAAAATATATGAAGAACTCATACAACTCAAAGCAAGGCCAAAGGTATCACAGAAGTGGATTTTCTGCCTTACCCCTACAGGGACTCCCCTCCTCTTCCAGCCTCCTCCAGCCTCCTCAGGCTGGGCCAGAGCCCTGGGGCCCGGAGACTGCACCAGTGGCTTCAGCACCATGGGCAGACAGCACATGCCTCCTGCCTGTGGAGCCCCTTCAGTCCCAGGGTGGCTGGGACTGCTGGTCGCTCCACTCAGCCATTCTGGGTGAGAGGGGACCCCAAGGAAGCACATGGCACCCTGCTCTTAGTCTTCCTTTCCTGCCTCATCTCTCTCCCCTCCATCTGCCCCTGCCTCTGGGGGTACAAGGCTCCCTGTCCTGACCTGCTACTCCCACAGACAGCTGCATGAGGGTGGAGAGAGGGGTGTCAGGGGGAGAAGGGACAAGCCCTGGCAGATGGTGGTGGCAGCGATTTCCCCCACAAACTACCCTCTCCCCCCGCCTTTACAATGCACTCTTGGGTCTGAACAAACAGAGGCTTTCCACCCAGAGGTGATGGAGGGGAGGGGAAAGAGAGGAAGGGCCCTGGCAGGGGGGCCTAGCCAGCCCGAACGCTCAGCCACTCAGCCCTCTGCCCAGTGCGCCAGACTGTTTGAGGAGCAAATATCTGCTTTCACTGTCTGATCCTCTCAACCGCCCCCACCAGGTTTGGGGCTAATTGTCCCTCATTAGCTGGGCCCAGGCCCCAGGCTGCCGCCAGCCCCCGCCATCTGCTCACAATTATACATTAACTCAGAGCCCTTGCCAAGCGCCAGCCAGGCTGTGCGCCCCTCTCTGGGACAGCCATGGCCATTCCAGCCTGTCCTTCACCCTGAGGTAGAGCCCTGACTGCGGGCTTCTTCTGCCCTTGGGAGCCTCTAGTATAAAGCCCCGTGGCTGTGGGAAAAGAAGTGCCCTCAGGAGAGGCGGCTGGAGTTCCCCAGCCCTCCTCCTGGGGCCAGAAGACAAGCCAAGCCCATGCGTAAAGCTGGAGAGAGCAGGGCGCAGCCGGCGCGGGGACCCTGCCGGCTTTGGCTGACACCTTCACTCGGACTTTGGATACGGAGTTACCCTAGTTTCCAGGTCTCAGGCTATTTTCTACCCCTTTCCTCTGGTGCCTCTTACCAGGCTGTGTGCCCCAG